AGAAAACATGTGGTATAGCGGTTGGTACAGGGTATGGAGAGAGACTCGATCGAGGACAAGCAAATCAAAGAGAAAAGAAAAACAAGCGGGATTCACAAGAGAGATACAATAAGGAAAAAAATCGTTCGATGAACGGAGTGAGGACCGGATTCTGGGCCCGGCGATATTCTTTGGCTGTGAGGGTTGTTCTTTCTGAACAAAAGGCAAAAAAGAAAAAGAAAAAGGAAAAGGAAATGAGATGGTTGGTGGAAAGATTGGATCATCAATGCGGCGTTGGCAAAGGATATGACAATTAACACTTCTTGGGCTGGAGATAAAGGTCTGGTTATGATATAGAGAGTGTGGCAACGGTATGTTCGATCAATGAGGGTGGGATCTGTACAGTCCACGGGTGGCCCGCGGACAGTATAGGGTATTGGCTAGCAAGGCTAGAGAGAATGTAGTCGGTTGAGACGGCGAAGAAAAAAAGAGAAAGAGTCGGTGAGGTTGAGCCTTCGGGTTTCGGGTTTCGGGTTTTGGGCTTGTCCAAATGTTCCGAGTAATCCAGGCAGAGGTAAACAGGAAACACACGAAGAGACGGAAATGCCCAACAGAAATTATACACATGTCACTCGTGAACATCAGTTTCTTGCAGAAAGTGTTTGGGAAAAGTATGAGGATGAAAAGATGATATGCCTCGCGCAGACCCATGCTGAGGAAACAAAATAGGTGGTTCTATCAAGAGCAACAAGGAGGATATCTCGCTGAATACAACAAAAAAAAACAAGATTAAGAGACGAATAAAGGTATCAGGGGGATGTCAGTCGCTGCAAAAAGCTAACGTCGAATCGGACTGGCAGTCAGGAAATTGCCCCGATCAACTTCCTTGCCTTTGCTGGGAGTTGGCGGTGGAGCGTCGCGGGGGACAGGAGGTAGTTCCTTGTCCGACGCTGGAGGACCGTGTCGGCTGTTTGAACTGCGCCCTCCAACACTGCTGGCCTCGCCGGCTTCATCCACAATGGGGAGAGTCGAAGTCGGACCAGGGCCCCCGGCATCTGCCGGGTCCCAAACAGTGGCTAATGTTCGAGGATGTGTGACGGATACATCTTTCGATGCCTCCTTCTCCGCTGCCTGCATTGTTCGCTCGACAGAAGAGTCCCTCGAACGTCGCTTTTCGGTTGATTGCTGAGGTACGCCAGAAGCGGAGACGCGAGACTCGCGTCGTCGTTCGGCTTCTTCCCTCGACATGGTGATTCCCTTGATGAAATTAATGAAGCGCTCTCCATAGCTCTCTGGTGGGATTGGAGAAATTTGTGACCGGTCGTGCGAGAGTCCTTTGAAAAAGTTCTCAAGTTTCTTGGTGGTTCCGTAATGAGTCAAGCAATCAATGATACCGAGGTAATAGATCTCGTCACCGGGCTGGCCATTCTCATGGGTGGCCCGGAAACCTCCATCATCCGCGTAGAAGACATGATATTTCCGTTCATCGAGGATTTCATCTGGCATCTTCGCAGCTGCTTTATCCAATGGAACAGGCCGTTCACGTTTGATAAGCATGCGCAACTCCCGGGCCTTGCGTTCATTCTCTAATTTTGACGGAGTGCGCATCAAGTTGTTGGGAGTCGTATCTTCTTCCCGATGGCCTCCTGGCTGAAAGACCTGGAGAGTCTTGTCGCGCAGGTTCTCTTCGTTGCCCCTGCCCGCATCATGGATTCCTACCAGAAGAGAATAGTCCATGATCTTGAGTTTCTGAAGCAATACAACGTCACGTTTCAATTGCTCAATGAAAAATTCTCGTTTTGTCGGGCCACATTCCAAGTGACGGTTGCGACGAACCCAATTCAGGTCCTTCATGGTCGCTCTGGGGTTTCTCTCGAGATCGGACTCCTGCAGATCACGGCCAACGGTCGAGCCCTTCAGGTCGAATGTCTGGTGGATATCGCGGTGGGGCGGGAAGAGGTTGTTCATCACGACGAAGTGAATCTTTCGGCCGTAAGCCATCTTGACTCGGTGCAATCCGTAGAATTGTGAAATGAGAGTGTTGGGGTTGTTCTCCACGTGCCGGTAGTACTCAGGAAGAATCTTCCGGAGAAGCTTGTGCTCGGAATGGTGAATGGTCTTGATGATGTACTTGTAGTCACGCGAGAAGTAAAAGAAGCTCCCGCTCTTGCCGGGGGAGCCCAATTCTGACAAGATGTACTTGCTTGTGAGGGACATAAGGTAGTCGGCGGGATCGAGGCGGAACTTGGCACGAAGGTGTCGGAAAACCCACGGTGCGTAATCTTTGAACTTGAAGTCGTATTTTGCGGAGGGGATCAGTTCATTTCCAGTTCTGCTACTGTCAGTAAAGTCTCGTTAAAATTATCGACATTAAAAGGGGTGCACACATGTCAAAGGAGAACTTGTGTTTGGCATCAAAGTCCGCTGGGGTGAGTTCCCGGTCCATTTTCGCGTTGATTCTCGAGACCGTGAAGCGGATACCAGTCAACATGTTGTATGCCGTCACATAGTTGACGTGGTTCTGGTCCACCTTGGTGCCCACAATCACCCGCTCGTCATCCTCCTCTTCGCGGCGTCGTCGCGAGGCTCGCTTTTGTTTGATAGCTTCGGCCCATCGGGCCGCGTCTTCATCTGGCGGTGCCTCGTCCAAAGTGATATCTTGCTGGGTGCTGTTTTTCGTTGCCCGTCTAATAAGACCGATTGACGCGCGTCGGAAGCCGGTCGTCGGTGACATTCGGCCACTAGTGTATGCAGCATCCTCGCTGTATTCTCGGCTATCTCGCCGAACACTAGGCGTTCTCGGAACCTGCAATGAATGTCGGTTGCGCATACTGGAGTTCTGTGATTCTGGCATGGAGGCAGCATCGAGTATGGACGAGGCGGGAGGGGAGGAATGGCGCGGTTGGCTGGGCTTCGAGTTCGGTATCAAGCGATCGGGCTCTGGAGAATAACGGCCAGTCTCATCCTGCTGTGGGATCTGTAAGAGCGAGGCTGACGGCGAGATCGATAACTCATCGGCATAAGGCCGATGAACGTCTCCATTGACCATGAGTTTCCCCTGGACCGGCCGGCCATTTGCAGTGCCATTGGGTTGTTGGTTGGACAGAGGTGACGTTGTGGAAATAGCACCCGGTCCATTTTCCGAAGGTTTACGGTCCAGCATGGCAGACGGCCGGCCGTTCTCGCGGGGATCCCTCACGGATCCATTGCCTACCGAATGCATGCTGCCGTCCTTGGACAGGGGCGGTTCGCGCGTGTACGAGCTTACACTAGATCGAGGGCCATTCAGGGAGTAGGCACTACCGTTCTTGAGATCAGTCAGAAGGTGTCGGTCATTCTGGTGAGAGTCGTTCGCGTCGTTGCCGTTGGGCCAGTTGGTCCACAGGAAAGTATTTCCGACGGAGGTCTTATCGTGGGACTTTCGAGATGATTCGAACGAACGAGGATGGGTGGCTATGGCAGTGGTAGTCTGATAGGAGACGTCGTTGGAGAAGGCTGGCATGTTGAATATTCAGGGAACGGGGGTGACGTGAGTTATGCGTGGACCGGCAACCCAAGTGACGGCAGTCGCCCTTATTGGCGGAGATTCAGGAAAGTTATGAATTGTTCCAGAGAAATGAAAACAAAGAAAGTATAGAGCCAGTTGCCCATGAGAATATTCAGCTCGACATAATTCAAAGGGAAGGGGGTAAATGAAGTTGTAAAATGGGGAAAATATGGGGGGGGAAGAGGTGAGGTGGAAATGGTTGGCTGGGAGAAAAGAAATTACACGTACGAAATACACCATTCACTAGTAGACATCTTGAATTTCTTTATGTTTTAGATGTTTATATTATATTCTAATAGAGAACCCTTTTAACTTTTTTCTTTTTTTGCTGAGAGTATCCATATATAATTATTGTATATAATACCAAGGTATCAGGCTGCTGCATAAAAAAAAAAACTCGGATATTCAAGCACGATTGATCACATATTTTTCATATTTCTTTCTCTACTATACTTCATTGGACTCTTTTCATACTCTGAGTTGTTTATGCAAGGAGATTGTAACCCCTCTGTACATCGAGTTTTATACTACGGAGTAAGGGTATAGTCATATATATGTACGGAGTACTCCGTGTCCTGGGGCAATACCCATTCCGTACACTAGTTTAGAGGCAACTTGCATCCTCTCAAGCCTTATCAGCCCTGGAGTTTCCTTTTAGTACAGCAGTCCTGGAGATATGGAGAGAATTAGTCTCTTTTTCCAAGGGCTCTGGTATACTCTAAACCCAATTCCGAAAATAGGGTCATGAAATCTTCCGCATTTGCCCATCTACGCCACAGGGGAAATTCTCCACTATAAAGATACCAAGATAGTATGCCATAAAAGTGGCTCAAGCCCTCTAATTCGGCTAAATGTGGATTTTGACTATCTTTTAGGATTTTTTTCTACACATGTGCTCAGATATTGGTACGGTGTACATGTTGTACTCCATTAAATCTCCGAGTGTATTTTCTTAACCCAGATTGGACTATATCATAAACCGAACTTCCCTGAATGTAATGAATACTTGTTTCAATAGACCAAGTGATACAAAGATACAAAGATAAAAATAAAACTGACACGAGACAATAAGTGGGGAGATCTACAGTTTGTTTACAATATACGCGGTTGACAGTCTACGTAGTCTGTACTCTACCTCTACCCTCTAAATTTCAAAAACCAATTTGAATTCCACAGTGACAATGAAATTAATCACAATATCAAGGTAATAAGACTGCTGTTCCCCATTGCAAACCCCGCCGCAGGACGCCATCCATTGGACTTTGGAAAGAAGCAAAGCCATCATAACAAAGAGACCCAAAAAAAAAAAGAGAAACAAAAAAAAAAAGCTGAGGAAACCATCAGAGCCAGAGAGATCAGTGAATCCAAAGAAATTACAAAAGAAGGAATCAGTACCAGGTAGCTCTCCCTGGAAATGCGCACGTGAAAATATAGGGAGAACTTGACCTAGTAAAAAAAGAGGATATCAAATCCTCTATTTCTTGGCAGTCCGCTTCTTGGGAGCTGCCCGGGTTGTTGTTGGCTGCGGGGCAGTAGTCTTGGTGATACGGCCAGACTTGGTTTTTCCCAGAATCTTGGGCTGCTCAACGACAGCAGGAGCCTGGAATGTTCGTCAGTAACGGGTCAAGATGGACTGAACATCCGGAATCAACTTACGGTGACGGGAGTCTTGCGGGCCTTGCCGGAGTTAGCCTTGGGCTTGGTGGCAGTGGTCTTCTTGGGAGCAGCCTTCTTGGGGGCAGTCTTTGCGGGAGCCTTCTTGGGGGCGACCTTCTTGGCAGCAGGCTTAGCCACGGGCTTAGCGGCAGGCTTAGCAGCAGCAGGCTTAGGAGCGGCCTTGACAGGGGCATCCTTCTTTGCAAGCTTCAAGGGGCCAGATGGGCCTAGAGGACGCGTCAGTTAAATGGTCAAATACCAGAGACTATCCGAAACCCCATGCAGCGAAATTCAAAAGTTGAATCAAATCGCGCGGAGTAGGATGGAATCAATGCGTGCAAACAGTGGTAAGAACTTACCCTTGGGCTGAGTGAACTCATTCTTCTCAACACCGGCCTTGATAGCCTTGTTGAACTGAGAGTCGAAGACGCTCTGGGAAGTAACGTTGATCTTGTTGTTAGACTGAACGTACTTCTTGATAGCCTGACGACTAAAATCGGGGGAGATTCAGTCAGTGGGTTTCCTAGGATAGACGAGAATCCGGGGCCGATCCCGGAGACGTCAAGGGAAAACAGCAACATACCTGCTACCATTGCGTTCTTTCAGCTACACGCAGAAACACAAGTCAGCAATGAGAAATAAAAAAGAATTGGTTTTGTTGTGGTCCATGCCCAAAGGCAAAGGCGTGTCACGGTCGGGCGCGCGACCCGAATCACAACAACCAAGGCTCGCGCCGGCAGTGATCAACTCACGCTAATAATGGCATCCTTGATCATATCTGTATCGATGGAATCAGCAGATATTCGCGACTAGATTCATATCCATATCGCTTTTGCGCGATATGGTGGGCATTCAGGATCAGTGAAAACATACCGCGGTAGGAAGTGTGAGCAGGAGGCGCCGCCTTCTTGGACGCGCTGGTAACCTTCTTAGGAGGCATGATTGATGATGATTGACTGAAGTTGAGGTGAAGATGAAGACGTCCAAGATAATCAGAAGAGACGATTAGAGAAAAAAAGTGGGAGGAGTGAAAGCAAAAGAGGAAGAAAAAGAGCAGAAGGGAAAGGGAAGGCCGCGGGGCATCCGTGATTTATAGGCGACCGGTGTTGACAAGATCATCAGAGAAAAAAAAAAAAGCACTTGCTTTCTTTTGGATTTTCTTTTCTAAAAGTTATCTTCTAGCTGTTTCTTCTTTTAATTAACGTTGTGTGTCTTGCAGTGTAGTTTGCAAGTAGATGTCTCTTCGTTCCAACTGGCTCTACACATTCCCTTGTTATATGAGATACTTGGAATACTCAAGATATTTTGTTGTTTTTAGTATCTATGATAATAACAGATGATTTTGCTATATTACAACGCGAAAATAGTATAAAATGGTAAACCGGCGCTTCTACGCGTCCCTTTTCCCTCGATGGAAATCGCGCATACTCTATTTTGGAGGATTTGGGAGGCTTTGGGAGCGAATATCTGTCAGAGGGCCCCTAGTGAGAGATCCTTTATACATTCCAATGTCATCTGGAGTAACGTATCCCTCTTGGATCTATCAACCCTACTTCAGACTTGGAATTCCAGGAAACCCACAATTCGGAGCTGTAGGATCTTTTATATCTATTGCATCAAATTGTGGGACCTGCATCACCTCGTGCTGAAAGGTCACGTTGTAAACCGGTGACTCGATTTCCGTGGTACAGCCCCCCTAGATGATGTCCTCGACGACGTTAGAATAAATTTTATTGGGAACTTGTAGACTGAGCTGATTTGGCGGTCTATTTGATTAGGTTGAACTATATTGTAGATAGGAATAGCAACATGAGCAACATGGGCATTTATATAGAGCAACGCAAACCACATATATATATATATATCGAAACTAAAACCGCAAATGATTATATTTTCTTACATTTTATCAAAGTGTCTAGATATATCAAAAGCCCCAAAGATTTATGAAGCCCAACTTTGTCAAAGTGGCACACGATATATATCCAAGAGAGGGGAAAGCTCTCTCACCTGCGTGGCAACGCCACTACCTAGTCACATCAGGATCAGCAGAGCCAATAAAAGAAACAGAATAGGCCCGATCCCATCATTCCCCGAGATACGCACTCATAAAGTTACCGAGAACAGGAAAAGTAGCCTGGGATCGACCCGCGACAGAATACCCGGACCCATCTGAGCAGGCTTTCAACGCCAAACCAACGATAGTAATAAAAATACCTTAATGGACTAAACTCCTAGGTTCCTACCATATGACACCAATCATTGGTCTATCAGCGTAGTCGTGCGGCGGAGATCATCGTATCTGCATCCGCAACCGGCGCGTCGAATCAAGGGCTCAGCTGGCGGGAACGCTGATCCTGCACTACATGGACTCTTGTTGCACATTTCGAGGGTGCAGATTGCGCATGATAACTGATGCCAGTGTATATTTTTGCATTTGAAGTGTTTCCTGCTTTCCCTCGTGAAGATCAGTCGTAGTTGGTGTTGGGAGGTCTCGATTAATCTCGCTAATCGGACCCGATCTATACAACCCTATACGCGAATGCTGGATATTGAAACCCTGCAATAACTGCAACCAGAACACTAAAATGGAGATTTGATATGCTCATGTATGAAGAACAGATGGAAGATACTAAATATGTCGCTTTTGGACCTTTCTATCAACTGTGGCCCCGAGGATCAGACGAAAGGTCTGTGCCTGGTCTACTTGATCTTGTCTGATCCCGGAGTCCGCGGGGCTAAAAAAGGTCACTGGAACAACAGAGAAGCATCGGAATACAGATTTCTCAGGTTCTATTTCAAATCAGACCACTCTTTGCTATGATACACGGGAACTTCACGCCCTATCCCGATCCCGAGGCGAAACGGACATTCTCCGCACGAATGAAAAATCCATAAGAAATAACTGCAAATAAACCACAGAACGCCCGCGCCAGTCCAGCTCATGTTAGATCAGGAAATAGTTTTGTATCATAAGTTGTTTTTGTCAGAAAAAGCATCTCTCATCAAGAAAAGTAGGCACTAGGCCGCTCCACGCGGCTTAGCCTTGGCATCCTTCTTAGCCTTGGCTTCTTCCTTCTTCTTCTTCTTTTGCTGCTGCAGTTTCTCATCATGCTTGCGCTTGAGAGATGCTTTCTCGTCCTCAGTGCGGGCGACGGGCTTGAAGAATCCCTCGAGTCGGGATTGCTGAGCGGTCTTGAGATGCTTCGACAGACGGGCCGCACCATTGCGCACACGGTCCTCGTTGAAGCCCTTGTCCCCCACTAGGTACTCAATCAGGCCATCAATGTTGGGAGCTTCCCATTTGAAGTCACATTCGGCGTGATCGGCAGGCCGGACATCCGGGTTGACAAAAAGTTCTCGTGCATCTTCGTATGGCCAGTCCTCAGGAACTACGAATTTCTTCTTCGGGTCGTTCTTCATGAACTCCAGGACATTCTCCAGAGACTTGTGCTCCTTGATTAAGCTGAGAGCAGTGGTGGCTCCCACCTTGGGAATAGGCTCTAGATAGTCACAGCCCAGAAGGATGCAGAGATCGATGAACTGCATGGTAGATATAGTTAGCAATTGTGATTACCCGTGAAATTACGAGGATACGGTACCTGTTTGCGGTCCATATCCAGACCTTCAAGTGCTCGATCCAAGTGGATCTCCTGGATAGGTTCCTTGCGCTGCTCACTGAACGTCAAGTGGCGCAGGAGAATCGGCGACTCAAAGCACAATGTATCCATATCCTCTGATGCAGCTGCGTACACCTTACCCGCACGAGCCAGGACGGCACACTGGGCTTCGGCTTCCGTGGGCGCATTAATAAAAGGAATTCCCATCAGTCCAAGGAGCTTTTTGCACTCCGCGTTGTGTTCACGAGTGACGCGGACAGTCCGTCGTGAGAATTTTTCGATATCCTCAGCAGTTCCCGTTTCCTTGGCCTCTTCGTGGGCTTCAGTTGCTTCTGCCTTGCGTGCAACACGCTTCGCCAATTCACCGGACTTGAGCTTCGGCGGGGCTCCGTCGAAAACGTAAAGAGGTTTGATGCCGTTGTCCACCATTCGGAGAGTACGGTAGAACATGCCCATCAGGTGGGATGTGGTCTCGCCAGATTCGCTCATGAGCTGCTGACCCTCCGAGCGCACAGCGATCAGGAAACTGTAGATGCTCATCGACCTATTTTGGGTTAGCGACTAGAGATTCTTCAGCTACCGGGATGGTGATCCAATGGCGTACGCATCCTAATTTGAAGAATTCATATGTCAGCATCTAAGAATATATCACAGGTTATACAACTCATACAATTGCGACCTTGCGGCCGAAGTGGTTCTTGATCTCGCCCGTCTTGATCGCATCGGGGGCATTCTCAGAGATAACCTGGTACAAGTCTGGGGGTTATTTAGCAAAGAGATGTGAATAAGTGAGAGTAAGAAACTTACGTTTAATACCCATTTTGAATTTGAGTTCAGGTTGTCTCAAGTTGGAATATTGTGTCTGTGTAGAGAGTTGAGCTTGACCTGTCGCAGTACGCGAACGCGCGAACGCGCTGGGCTGGAAGCGCGACACCATTTAAACCTAATTGGGTATAGTGTATTCCAAGGTCAGGTGACCGGCCAAACTTCGACTTATTCAGAGGTTATACATAGAAAAGTCTCTTGCACAAAGTATTTTGTTTCCACCTTTTTCTGCTGTCTACCTATCTATATTGTAAACAGAATATCTGAGACTACTAAAAAAAACCCATAAAAATACATCACATGGCCGCATACGCGGCTGTCTACTCTTGTTCTTTCTGAATATGCATCTGTGCCTCAGGCGACCAACCGGCAATGAGTAATTCGGGCCAGAACCGGCCGGTTTGAAGCTGCTCCGACCCCGCCTTTATGTCTTCCCCGGAATGCGCCAGGCGAGGATGAGTCCAGCCTCCACACCAATATGAAGCGGAATCGCATTCAATTCGAGGCCAATGGCGAGGCCTCGTCAGCTTCTCCCCCACAGGGTGTCTTCACACCAGAGGACCGGCCTCACCATGTTCCGAAGATCTCTCGACGGATACGGGCATGCACTGAGTGTAAGCGGCACAAGGTGCGCTGTGACATGAAGGCAACGGACTCGCTGTGCTCGCGCTGTCGGCGCATGGGACTAGAGTGTGTTGTGAACAAAAGCCTCCAAACATTACTGGAGGACGAAGCTGAGTGAGTGCCTTATCTTCGGTGTTTACATCGGTAACATATACTGATTGCGCCCGCTACGATAGGTGGAAATCAATGATCGAATCGGCAATGACAGACCTGCTCAGGAAATCACAGCTACCGGAGCTATCATACTACCAAGCAGGCGGTGGTACAACCGAGACGCCTTCGAATAAGAGAGGCAGGAAAGACTCCACCGTCTCAACTGATGATAATGGACTTGCGCAACACAAAAGGGCCGAGCCAGTCGCCAGTACAGTACGAAATGGCACAACTGCAAGGTCAAGTTATGGCTTCCCCCAACACCGGCCACGGTATTCTTTGGACCGCGAGGAAACTGGCGCGACCTCTCTGGTCACAGCACCGATGGGCAGTCTGTACGAGGTGACGCAACTCAGTGAAAACCGCGAGAGCTCGCCCGGACAGAAGTTTGCCCCAGACCAAGCACTGGTCACTGATCTCATCTCGCGCGGAGTGGTCGATATCCAGGAAGCGGAGGAGCTGTTCTATCAGTTCGACCAGGTACTCAACCGCTACCTATGGGATGGAGCCTTGCTAGCACATAAAGACTTGACGTCTGTCCGAAGGTCTTCATCAATGCTGTCTGCTGCTATTTTGGCTGTCACCGCCCTTCACATGCCGACCAAGGAACGCACGTTTGATACATGCTACACCGAGTTTGCAAGACTGGCATCGGAGTCGATGCTGGACCACCACCATACCTTGGATGATATCCGCGCACTGTGTATTGGAGCGTTTTGGC